TTACAATGTTATTAAATATAAATTAAATTATAATAACAAATTAATTAAAAATTAAGAATTTTTATATTTTTTATATTTTTTATGGATTCTTCAAATTTATAATCTATTCATTCTGGAAAACATTCTCAATTCTCAAAAGTACATAAAACCATATTAAAACTAATAAAACGAAACTTTAAAATTGAGATACATCGTACTACATCGCATGAGTACACTTCTAGTTAATATATAATGAGTGATTTATTAATACTTAAATTTTTGAAATAACTAAATAAATTAAAATATAATGATATAAAGTCATTTTTAATGAAAAAAAATGTAATTCAAACCAAATGCTACCACTTATTGTTCACCTATATGCAAAGTATGTAGTAATCAACCAAAAATACATTTATTGTTCACCTATATGCAATCGATCTCAATACATTTTAGTGAAAAGTCGAAAAAATTCAATGGATTTTTGTGTTTTGAATGATCAAGTCTTTGAATAAATCTTTTTCGAATGAATAAGTCATTGGATTTTTTGAAACCTGTTAAATAAATTATTGGAATTTTTGGAACCTTCAAGATACATCCTTATGACAAATAAATTATTACATTTATAAAACCAAATGGATAATTTCATTTTCATTAGTCTTTCCGTTACAAATATTGGGCCAAAATATACCAAAAAGCAGGGTCAAAATACACCAAAAGTAGCATCAAAATATGCACTAACATATACCAAAATACACCAACATATACCAAAAGTTCAGCCAAGATATACTAAAAGTAGCATCAAAATATATTAAAAGTTGCATCAAATACACCTAAATATGACAAAAGTTACACCAGCATATACCAAAATATACCCAAGTAATGCCTAGTCTATATTAAATCTAAGGTCGTGTCATAACTATTCTTCACTAGCATCACCTAATCTATTTCTAGTTGGGATACAGTCAGTTGATTGCCTTGCAACTCTTCTTGATGTCCAACAACAATATCACTTGTCCAACAACAATATCACTTGAGGATATATTCATTACAAATAACATGTTATTTAAATCTAAAAAAATAACGACCTACCCTAATTGATGGTATCCTCCCACCTCTAGTCCCTCTTAATCTACCTTCTGGCTTAACATGTTTAGGTGGTCGGTAATTCTTTTTATTCTTACGAGTCTTGGCATTGTGCCCCGTTTCCAAGCAATTGCTATATGTCATAGCCTTCCTAGATTGAGTCACTCTTGTACTTTGGTTCTTAGATTCTAAAATCTTCCTCTTAATATATGGCCTACTAGGCATTCTCCTTCCCATAGGTGGTTTTGGTTTGATTAAAGGTCCACATATTTCTCCCATTCAATGGTGTTATATGATTCTTGTAGGCCATTTTGAATAGATCCTTACTAAACCATTTACTGACATAATCCTCTAGATCCTTGTTAATAAAGAGTATAATGAATATGGAATGCACACAAGGAATGCAACATATGTCCCACAGTCTAGATTTTCTACCACCATTGCTTCATAAACATTTCATTTTTCAAACACATTGCCACCACTAAGGATAACATACCAATATCTACATATGACAAGCCAATAAATAAGCATACATAAACATACATAATCATAATACCATCATAGATAAACATACATACTCATATAATCATAGATAAACATACTTATGATTTTCTCCCAACTTCTTTAACTTTTTTCTTACCACCAAACATACAACTGATTCCCATTCTTGTGATTTTCTACTTGTGCTTTCCTTGACATTCTGTAATGCCTCTCCATAACAAATATTCTTGTCTCGTCGAACATTGTGATTATGGGTTTTCTTCTTGCATCAACAATGATTGAATTAAATGATACACATCCCATTTTCTACAGCCTCACAAGCTTTACCTAATTGAAAATATACATCACACGATGTATTAGGGTCTATTTCAATAAAGTGATTGCATGCATAAATATTTAGTGTTTAAAACTTCTCCATGTGGGGTACAAATCTGCTTCAAAAGTGGATATAGCTGCTACCAAAAATTGTTTCTATACTCAATACCATCAAACCTTTTATGGAAATTAGCATATATGTGCCTTACACTTTGCCTATGCTTTGCATATGGTGCTAATTCTTTTATTGCTTCAACAATGCCTTGTTGCATAAAAAAATGATAATAGATACACTTGTAGATTCACAAACTGCATACATTTGTTAATGTTAAGAAAATGCATACCTTGTGTTGATTAGGCATGATAATAATCCCYGTTCATCCGATAACACAAATATCTTCAATAAGTAGTTCAATGAACCAYTTCTAATTCTCTTTGATCTCCACACCCACTACAACCCAAGCTACATAAGYATTCAACATTGTAAGTGAGTAAAGAAATAATAAGAACACTTCATAGTAATATAAAAAGATAGTTCTGTTGTACATACCTATATGGTAAATCTGATTATTTCCATCTCGGCCAATAGCCGATATTAAGTGTCCTTTGCACACAACTTTTAAAAAACAACTGTCTAGTCCTATAACTTTTCTACACCCATTAATTCACTCATCTTTTAGTGCATTGAAGTACATAAAACCTCCTAAACTTATTACTTACATCTACCATTAAATTTACATCCATCTTGATAGTAGATCCTGGATTGGCCCTCCTAATTTCATGTCTATAATCCCAAAGCTTTTCATAGTGTTCTATCATAGAACCTTGAATTTCAAGAAGTTCCCTAGACTTGGCTCGAATGAGTTGGCCATTGCTAACTTTGATCATAAACTTTTTAAAAATACCAGCTTACATATCCTTAACTTTTATGAACTGTCTTTCAATGAGTTCCTTGACATAATGCTTTGCAATCCAATTTGGTGTCACTAGGGATCCCAAACTATAGTCTTTACTACATATATGTTTATCATTAATGCTTTTAATCTGATATATATTACTTACCATTTGCTTCTCATAATTAGTGTTAATTAGTCGTTTATTTTAATTATATTATAGAATGTTATAATGAGTAAATTTTGAACGTTACTTTTGTTATTTTATGTTTGTCAACTAGATTATCAATTATAAAAATTGGATCATTAGAAAGATAGTGTTTAGAACCCAATTGACTTCTCTTCTTGCATCCAAGATGCCCATAATCTAACACGTGTGATCTTTCTGACCTTTTCCACACGTAAAATGCAACCTCTTTGAATCATTTTTCAGATACTCTAGTTGGTAACCAATTGCCAGCACATAGTTTGTCAAATACTACTTTAATTGATATGGATACCTTTTTGTATAGATTGATCTCCAATATTATTATCCTCTTCATCCACATTGAACTCAACATTGTCAATCATGTTTACACTACAAAGATTATTTAAAATATGTTCATAGGTTGTTGTGTTTAAGTTGATTACATCATCATCGATTACGAGGTCCAAGGATAAAGAGTCTAACATATTTTCACTTGAATAATCACTTATATCATAGTTAGGATCATCACTAATCGCTTTAATCAAATGTCATCCTGTAAATATGAACAACAACGACTTAATAACAATTCACAAACAATAATACAATCGAGAAGCTTAAACTATAACTAAAATTGTAATGAAAACGTGAAGTTAACGTTGTTGAAGGAGATGTAGACAATGCAAAAATCAAAGATAAATTGAGAGTGAATGAGATGTAGGCAATGCAAAAATCATAGAAAAATAAATAAGTAGTTAGAGTATTCGAACATATCGCATTACCCAAAAAATTTCTAGTAACCGAAAGGAACAAATGAGAGTAGTCGAACCCGGATGATGGTCGTTGGGAGCCGGTGACATAGACGACAACTTGGATCAGTGGTGATGGCTTGGATGGTGGCAACGACGACTGTGGGCTCAGCTGAGGGTCACGACGACCGGCGGTGCTTGACGAGCATAGCAGATTGAAGGGTGGGGACGTGGGATTGACCGAGTCTTGGCCGAGACAGTTTAGGTTTAGGAAATTAGTTTTATGGTTTTAAAATTTTAACTTTTACCTACAATGTCAGCTTTTAAGTAATAAGTATTAATTTGATGTGTTTTAAAATGCCCAACGAAATAAAGCAAATACCCATATGCTACGCCCCATAAACGAAGAAAAAGAACTACCAACCTCGATCGATAGTTCTATTTCGTTGATTCTAAAGAGTAAAATCCATGAGATACTCAAAAGATTGGTCTATGTTATATATCATTTTAGTTTATGAGTGATCTCCTATATAGTATTAAAATCATATTATATTTATAGGTCCGATGCAGATTCGGTATGGGAATTATATGGATAACGTACCAGCTTTACAATTGGACCCTAATTCTTGGACGAAGGTATGTGTATATACTTGTATCATATTAAATCTCTAGTGAAGTGGGACGGGTTAAAACGAGAACCATAAACATCACTACAATAAAATCGGGTTTATAAGACGCTCCAAATTTCTAAGCATGCTAATAAACCTCTTTATAGGACTTAGTTTATAGGACCAAAAAATAAAGTGTTCTATCTAAAGGCGTTGTAATAACTTTATATAATGTTTTTTGACGTCGTAATAAGTTTTTTATAACACTTTTAATATAAAGAGTCTCATTAGCAATTTTATAGGACACTGTTTGAAAAACTATCCTATAAAAATAAGTGTCCTATAAAAATTTGAGTTTATAGGACAATTTCTCAAAAGTGTTCTACAAAGTTTTCTAATGCGACGCTTTGCATTAAAAATGTCCTAAAAATTTTGTTAAGATGCCCCAAAATGTCATATAAACTTATAACAACGCCTTTACATAGAACGTTTTATATTTTGGTCCTATAAAAAGGTCTATTAGGATGCTTAGAGATTTAGAGCGTCCTATAAACCCAATTTTGTTGTAGTGCATTTTAAGAATCGGGGACCTCGTGATACATATATATATTCAATACAAATGTCGTGATAGGTATTCATTATTATTTAAGGTTATTCATCATGAATAATAGAAGAAATAGGTGGTTCCTTTGTTCTTAAAATATTTATGGTTTTCATTTAAACTTGYTCTCTTGCACTAAAAAACAAAGAGGCTTCATAGGCGTACTTTTTCTAACCATAATTTTCAAAGGATTTGTGGCGGATCACCGCCTGATTGACCATCACAAAATCCGCCGTTAAATATGATCACAAGCCACACTTTCTCCGGTAATGGTGGCTTTTTCCGACGGATTACTGATTGGTAAAGCCTTTTTGTTTTGTAGTGTAGTKAAGTTGATACCTTGTGTTTACCTTATTACAATAAWATCCTTTATGGGGATTTAAAGGTGGCAAATGTGATATATTTGGATGCACCTACGTTAACCGGATATTCATACACAAAAAATTCCGAAGCCATTGTTTCTAGCGATACATCATCAGCAGAACAAACCGCAGAATTTCTAAGAAAGGTTGGTGAAGGTTTAATAAGTTTTCAAACGTATATAGGTACTATTGATGAAGGATTCTTACTAAGAATTATTTACAACGCAGTTTGTTAAAAACCATCCAAGGTTTTTAAAGAATCCTATGTATGTTACTGGAATTTCGTATTCGGGGATTATTATTCCGATCATTACCGAGGAATTGTATAAAGGTATAATATTTAATATTTGTACTTCATTCTTTGCATATTGGGTCTAATTTAGCAACAAATATATCTTAAAAGAAATAAAAGAAGAGTAAAATGACCTAATTTGTTTGTTTTACATTTCCAAATTTTAAAGGTAATGAAGAAGGACTAGAGCCAGTTGTAAATATCCAAGTAAGTATAATTAAATTTCGAAATTTTTCTATGTACACGATTTTGTAGAATTTTTTAGCACACAACATGCGATGCCATATATTCTATGGACATTGACGTTGGAATTTTTCAGGGATAYATGGGGGGAAATCCACTGACGGATAAAACTGGTGATATAAACTCTAGGCTTGAATATGCTTATCGTGTGGCACTCATATCTCGAGAATTGTACGAGGTATGATATTATCATCTCCATTTCATCATGGTTCTATTCATATGTTTTYTTCATAATGTATAGAATGTAACTAATAATACTAATTTCCTTTGTGAATTATTAATTATAGGCAACACAAAACGATTGTCAAGGAGATTATGCAGAAGCCAATTCAAACGAATTGCTATGCATGTCACGTATTGATGAAGTTAACAAAGTAAGAATAACTCATAACTATATATATTGAATTTACCTTTGTAATTATTTTCTGTGTTTTTAGCCAATACTTCATTTTCTTTCGTGTCAGCGTGTTGGAGACATCAACATTCAACAAATTCTGGATCCAGATTGCGATCCAGCGACCAATTTGGTTAGAAGTGGTAATCCGATTATAAGCGGAAATCGAAAATCTCTACGGGCAGCCAATCCAATTAAAATGCTTCCTGCACTATCTTTGCACAAGGATACTTTTTGTCGAGTAATTATCTCCCTTCTTTTTTTCATGCACTTGTATCTCTAATCATCTATGAATCTGTAAATTTATATGTTCTATACTTTTGAACAGGGTGACTATTATAACTATGCAACACTCTGGGCCAACGATGAAAACGTTATGGAAGCACTTAACGTACGCAAGGTATATATACTAACCAACAATCAAATGAGGAGAAACAGAATGTTGTGTATGCTTTACAAAAATCTATTATTATCTAATTTA